CAATAATGTCGCCATCCACTGAATGCAGCCATGTGGGGGTATATTGTTAGTTTGGTTGAATGGATGGATGGGTGGATGGGTGGCGCGCGCGCGAGAGAGAGAGAGAGAGAGAGAGTGTGAGAGAGAGAGAGAGAGAGAGAGAGTGTGTGTGTGAGTGAGTGAGTGAGTGTGTGTGTGTGTGTGTGTGTGTGTGTGTGTGTGTGTGTGTGTGTGTGTGTGTGTGTGTGTGTGTGTGTGTGTGTGTGTGCTTGCATGAGTAGGCCCCATATCGAGTGAAGCATGCCCAACAAGCACTTTTACCTTGCGGCGACGCTCCAGACAGACGTGCACGGGAGATCGATCGTTTGCACACACGCGCCAGACTCCATGTCCCACACCTGTGGTCACAGACACCGCCAATGAGCCAAAAACGTAACAGACGCGACAGCATCCACCACCACCACCACCAAGCAGCAGCACCGCCGCCACCACCGCCCACATCATCACCACAGTGGGTTCATCACATCAACTCCCCATCGCGTCTCCCGCGCCATCACCACAGCACCTTGACGCAGCCGTCTTCCCCGGACGATGCGAGCAGCGGCGAATCCGGCACGCTGCACACCGCATACACAAACGCCTGCACACACATGCACACAGAATAGGGTGAGGAAACGACACACACTGCACACACACACACACGCACACACACGCACACACACACACACGCACACACACACACACACTGCAGTGTTGTGCAGTCATGTCACTCCACTTTGGCCTGCGCTCCCAAGTGTGCACGGCACCTGGTGTCCGGTGAAGGTGGCGATGGTGTCAAAGGTGGCGGTCCAGACGACAACGGTCGAGTCGTTGGAGCACGAGGCAAACACGCCCTCAGACACGTGGCACTGGGGTGACGGCAATAAGCACAACAACAACAACAACAACAACAACAACAACAACAACACCAACAACAACAGCCAGAGATATGGGCATGCGGTGGTGTGGCGGAGGTGAGAGTTGCAACCATGGAAACACAAACACACGCACGCGCACGCTCGCATAAGCAAACGCTGTTTTACACCCCATCCTGGCCTTCATCATCATCCCTCCCCTCCCATCCCTCCTCTCAACTCCCCACCAGGCCGCGAATGACGTCTGCGTGGGCTGCGGCCCTGGTCTGCACGTGCTCTCCACTGCTCCTCCACCGCCGAAGTGACCGGTCGGCAGAGGCCGTCACCACCTCCCCGCTCGACACAAGCGGCAGCACGCTGCGCAGGCGATGGAAGCGGGGAGAGGTGGGGGCATTGTGTGTGGTATTGTGTGTTGCGTGTTGCGCATAAGCTCAAAAGGCGAGCTCTTGGCAAAGAATGGCACATCGATCAAATCACATGCAGAATGCACATCTACATACATCACATTAAAATACACATGCACACATGCACACATACATACATACACGCCACGCACGAGTCGATACCTGAGAACGGACGCTTCGTGGCCCTTGAGGACAGCGGTGCACTGCTGCGTCGTCAGATCCCACACGCGCGCAGTGCTAGAGATATTTTTGTTTTTTGGGTGGGGCAGAGAAGGGTGTGAGTCGATAAGGTACAAACGCACACACACACACACACACACACACACACACACACACACACACACACACACACACACACATGCACGCGCGTGCCGGTGAAGAGGCCTTGTGAGACGCGACACAACCCATGCATTGAAACAGTGAAAGTGTTTACTCACCTGTCCCAGCTGCTGGAGACGACGGTCGTTGGTGAGATTGCCTGCAGGCAGCACACCGCGTCCGTGTGGCCCTCCTGTGTCGCCAACAAACAGCAGAAGCACAGACACGCAGCACATCAGTCGCGTGCATTCGAGGCAAAATGACAAGAGGCAGATGTTCGCACGCACAGATACACCACACACACACACATGCACCAGTTTCAACTGCTCACCAGCCGGGCGATGGGCCCTGCGGGGACGGCTGGGTTCCAGACCAGGATGGTCTTGTCGAGACTGCCCGTCAACACCAGCCCTGATGAGATAAGCACCACAAGAGAGCGTCAGACGGCGGGGTGTAGAGGTTAAGATTGCACGTGAACACACATGAAAGACACGCTCATAACAAGTGCAAACACACACAAACAAACAAACAAACAAACAAACAAACAAACAAACAAAACAAACAAACAAACAAACAAACAAACAAACAAACAAACAAACAAACAAACAAAACAAACAAACAAACAAACAAACAAACAAACAAACAAACAAACAAACAAACAAACAAACAAACAAACAAACAAACAAACAAACAAACAAACAAACAAACAAACAAACAAACAAACAAACAAACAAACAAACAAACAAACAAACGAGCACACACAGGCAGTTGACTGTGTTCTCACCCTGGGGAAATTCAGGCGTTGGGGCAGTGCATGTGACGCACATGAGGTACCTTGTGTGCCCTTTCAGCTGGGCCCTTCGAATCGGCATTAGATCACGAAGCACAGGTGCGTGAGGGAAGAAACCGTCATCTATGGTCAGCTGGAGACATGCGCGTGCACACACACATGCATATGCACACACACACATGCACGACAAACCAGAGTGAAAGTTCACAGAGAGAACTTACTGTTGATGGTACTTGCTGCCGCCCTGATACTCCCACAGAATGGCTGCTCAGAGCCGCCATGCAAGCGATTAAACAGATCATTCGATAAGACGACAAGCCACAAGCGCCAATTAACCACAAGACACACATACATGCACACATGCACACGCACATATACACACACGTACACACACGTACCTGATTCATCGCGGGAAGCTGTCGCAATAAAGGGGATAGGCACTTCCTTGTCGCTGCCACAGGCACCGCGAACCTGCGAACAAAGTCAATATGCATGAAAACATGGATCAACGTCGACACCAAGCAAACAGGCATGTCAGCAACGCAGCGTTTGAGTGACGCGCCCACTTTCATAACACACACAATACAACAGGCATGCGCGCACACGCACGGGGGGGAGAGAACGCACGTCACCGGTGTGCCCCAGCAGTGTCGCGCTGAGCTTGAACAGCGGGCTTCCGCCCTGTGCACTTCTCTTCGCTTCTGACATCTCTCTGGTTGGTTGCGCTGATGTCTTGTTTGCTTGCTTGTCTGCTTGTCTTGTTTGCTTGCTTGCTTGTTGCTTTTGCTGACTGCGCCGACGATGATTGATGGAAATCATACACCAATCGTCCATTTCTGCGCCCATAACCCGCCAACAACACAAACGCGCCTCCTCCCACCATATCTGCCCTTGCTGCACTGACCGACCGCACCGCTCGCCACCATGGAGGATCTGGACAAGATGAAGGTCGTTGACCTGCGCGCAAAGCTCAAGGAGAAGGGCCTGGACACAAACGGCAAGAAGGCCGAGCTCATCTCCCGTCTCAAGGAGCACGAGGTGCGCGCCTTTGTCTCGTGGTTGATTGACTGGTGCCAGTGTTTGTGGTTGGGTGTTGTGTTGGCGTGGTGTGCCACGTCCTTGGGAGTTGGTGAGTCGCGATGAAGTGTTCATCGCCTGTCTCTCACGTTGCGTACGTTCGGTGGCCACTGTACTGTACTGCGCTGTGTGGTTGGTGTTTGTGTTGTGTGAACAGGAGGCTGAGCTTCTTGGCCTTGCTGGCGATGACTCCCTTGGCGAAACCGAGGGTGCCGGCGACGTTGATCTGAACGTGGATGAACTCGACGATGTTGTCGTGAGTGATACGCTTGTGTGGGTGTGGGTGTGCGCGCGTATGCGTGTGCGTGTGTGTGTGTGTGTGTCTGCGTGTGTGTGCTGCCCACGGACTGCATGTGTTTGGGCTCCACCGCCCCGCTGTTTTGTTTTCTTTTTGCGTATGTGCTGACTGCTTCTTTACATGCGGATGTGCACGTGTGCAGGACGAGGACACAGCTGGCACGGAGGCGAAGGAAGCACCCAAGAAGGAGGCTGGCAAGGCCCCAGCGTCAAGCAAGCCTGCCACGGCCACTGAGGGGAAGAAGTCTGAGGAAGCAAACGACGAGTCCTCCGCAGCCAACACAACAGACGAAGCCGCCACAGCAGCCACAGACGTAAGCGTACCCCCCTCCCCACACACAGACGTGCAGTTGCAGTCTGTATGCATTACGTGTCACCCTCTCAGTTCTGTGGGAATTGACTCAGCTCATCATCCTCGTTCATGACCATGCATGATTGCCCCAAATACACTCACACTCACTCACTCACTCACTCACTCACTCACTCACTCACTCACTCACTCACTCACACTCACTCACTCACTCACTCACTCACCCACTCACCCACTCACTCACTCACTCACTCACTCACTCACTCACTCACTCACTCACTCACTTCCACCGAAACACGTGTGCAGCGCCGGCTGGCCCGTGCTGCGCGCTTTGGGATTGAGACGAAGGAGACGAAGAAGGAGAAGCGTCTTGAGCGCGCAAAGCGGTTTGGCCTCGAGACGAAGGAAATCAAGCAAGACAAGCGCAAGCAGCGCGCAGAACGATTCGGTGCGAAAAACAGCTGCATGACTGTGTGTGTATGTGTGTGTTACGTGTGCGTGTGTGTATGTTATGTGTGTGTGTATTCTACGTGTGCATGTGTGTATTACGTGTGTCACGTATGCTTGCCAGTGGTTGAGCCATCTTTGATTCAATAATGCGTGCAAGCTCCCTTGACACACTCTTCCCACACCGACATCACCAACACTATTCGCGCTGACATGAATCACGCTCCCCCACTTTATCCCATCTCCTTACTCGCCCCCCCCCCCTTTCCCCCACTCCTTTCATGGCTCCACCGCAGGTTTGGCGGGAAAAGGCGGCAGCAGCCCCGCTGTCTCTGCAGAGGCACAGCAGAAGCGCCTCGACCGCGCAAAGCGCTTTGGCCTCGACGTCATGACAAAGACAGAGCAGAACAAGAAGGCAAAGGTCCGCCAAAAAATCAAAAGTGCTGTTTGTCTGCTTACTCTGTGTACGTGTACGTGTGTGTGTGTGTGTGTGTGTGTGTGTGTGTGTGTGTGTGTGTGTGTGTGTGTGTGTGTGTGTGTGTGTGTGTGTGTTTGCTTCGTATGTTCCAGACAGACACAGGTCATTGAGCCCACTGCAACAGCCTCACTCTGCCGCCATCACACCACCACCCAGAAATCGCCCGCGACGAACAAGAAGAACTACGCAGCGATGAGTGTGGAGGAGCTTGAGAAGATGAAGAAGCGCATCGCCCGCTTCAACCCAGACGACACCGCCCTCGAGTACGTGGTTTTGTGCCTGTGTATGTTTGTGTGTATTGTGTGTGTGTGTGTGTGTGTGTGTTTGTGTGTATTGTGTGTGTGTGTGTGCATTGTGTGTCAACTGGCTGGGTAAACTTGTGAGTCAACTTGTGTGCGTATCCATCTGTGGTGTCGGGTGTATCATGTCTCGCTTGGGCTGCTTGTGTTGGCACTTGATGCTCTTCCCCGCCTTTTGTCGGCTCACCTCCCTCGTGTGCTGCATTCATTGGCCATACAGGCAAATCAACAGCGCCCTGGCTGCAAAGGCAAGCAGCTAAACACGCCCGACGACTTGTGATGTCGAGTTCCTTGTGTTGTCTACCGTGTCCCTTCCTGCTCTGTCTCTGTGTTGGTTGATGCATACGTGTGTCTGTGTGTATGTGTGTGTAGGTGTGTGTGTAGGTGTGTGTATGCGTGCTTGTGCCCTTCCGTGATCTTGCGCGAAGCGCGACGTCGCTGCTCGTGCCCCTGCCGTTCTTGTCTGCTGTTCTGTTGTGTTATGGTGGAGAAACTGAATGAACGAATGAAATCAGTGCACAAGGGCGCCTCACAAGCAAGCAAGCGCAAGCAAGCACTACATGAGCTTCGACACACACACACACACACACACACACACACACACACAAAGCACACAAAGCACACACAGAGTCGCAAAGCGGTTGTGGGCGATTTGTGGGTGCGGTGGTTAAATTTCGGACCTCAAGCGGAAATGGCGGACGTCGACGACAGCGGCCCAGGTGTGCCTCCTTGCTTGCTGTACGTGCGCCTTCCTGTGCGTGTGTGCATCGACACAGACATGTAACGTTCGCTTGCTTCTTGGTGGGCATCCAAGGCGTGCTGTCGATCATGAACACCTTTCCATCCTCCCCGCAAACCTTGTGTGATCATGTATGCTGACCAATTGGGCCTTCCCCGTTTCTCCTTCAACCGCCAGACCCGAAGCGGGCCAAGCTTGAGCAACAGCCTGCACCACAGGCCACAAACACACAAGCAACCAGTGAACCAGTGGACAGCACGGCGCAGCCCGATGACCAAAAGCAGCAGCGTCGCCGTGGAACCAGAGGAGGGCGCAGACATCGCAGGCGGCACAAGAAGAAAAAGAAGAAGAAGCACGACCCTCACCGTCAGTGCCTCGCGTCCTGTGTGCGCTTGTGACACGGTGTGCCTGCTTATGGTGTTGGTGGAAGCTTGTCTGCCCGTTGCACTTGCTGTTGACTTCAGCAACCCCTCATACTGCTGTGGCCTGTGTACCATGGTGCTCATTCTTTTGTTGTTGTCCCCACCGTCTCAGAGCTGCTGCCGAATCGACCGGCCGCTGTGCGTGTACCGTACCAGGATGCAGAAGGCTACCAGAGTAAGTTGCACGTGCACCTCTGCTCGTTGTGATCGAGAGATTTTCAGCATCACACACACACGCACACACATGCTTGCGAGGATACTTATCCAGCTTTAATCAGAAAGCGGTCTATCCTCCCTCACTCTCGACCACGCCTCCCCCACACCCACTACCACCACACCCACAACAACAACAACAATAACATCGTGAACAGGGCACCGCGTCGTGTATCTGTACGGCGGTTTCCCTCGCGACACAACTGCACGTACCGTGCACAAGAATCGCCCCGTGTTTCCCGGCTTTGCGCCCGGTCAGCTGCACGTGCTCCCGGGCTACAGCACGTACTGCACAGAGGTGATCACAGACCGCCGCTTCGTGGTGCGCGCCAACCAATACAAGGCGATGGACGAACCTTTACCGCCACCATCGCGCGTTCCGGAGTCCGCCATGGCAAACAACACCCCGTACTCTGGCAACGAGACCATCACTGGCACTGCTGCCGTCACAGCATCGCATGTATCGGATTTCGGGAGCACTGCAGTAGCTACAGGTACCCATGAACGAGAAAGCGGCAGCGCGGCAGCCACGATTGAACACACTGGAATGGGGTTCGCGACAGGAGGTAGCATGGGTCGATTTGATACGAGCGCAGATGAACAACAGAGCAGCAGCCGCGTCGCCGGTGGTGCAGATGACGACAGTCAACGACGAAGAGCAGCGAACCACCATCACCATGACCCGCACACGTCCACGACGACCACCACGATGCGATTGCTATCGTCGTCGCTATCATCGTCGTCACCTGCGCTGGGCGCTGCTGTTGTGGGCCTGTCCGATACGCTGGTGGAATCAGAGACAGCCACGCCCAACGTGTCGGCTGCTGCGACCGCGGGCAACACGCGCGCGCACACGAGCGCACGCAGCAGCACGACACCGACGACAGCTGCGACGGGTGGCGGGCCGCTGACACCACCGATGATGATGATGGCAACAGCAGCGACTACAGCAAGGGCGACAATGGCACCAGCGCATCACGGCGCCGCCACCACCACTGGTGCGATGGCAGCACAGGCCGCTTGCCAGCGTGCACGGAGAGCAAGCGAGGACGAGCGGGAGATCTCCGCTCGCATGTCGTCGTACTTTGGACAGGAGATGGTGGTGGTGTCGTCGGCATCGTCGTCAGCAGTGGCATCAGCAGCAGCGGCAACAACGGCGCTAGTGGAGGGGACGTCGCCTGCTGGGGGCGTGTCTCCAAAATCACACGCCTCGGTGCCAGGCATAC